CCCTCAAAAACAACAATGGCAGCAGCAAGAAAGGTAAGCGTAGATGCTGCTAGCATCAGTTCAGAGCAGGAGAACCACAAAGAACGACACTGAAGGAGTTTTACTACATTATAAAGTTCACTGATCGGATCCGATGCCAAGTATTTTCTTAAACTTTTTGACTTTTTCCAAACAACTTCCAACGCTGACATCCAAGGTGGTTCTGTGTAACAAACCACCTGTCGCAGTCAGGTTAGGGTCACACATTAGAGCCCCTCTATATCTCTCACAGTTATTGTCTCTCAGTTCTGCTTTAGATTAACTCTCTCTCTCTCTGTGCCTCTGTGGTTTTGAGTAGGAGGTCTTTGTCAGGAAGTATAGTTTCCTTTTCTACAGAACTAACACTCTTTCTCTCTCTGTAAGTCCGTGTGTGTGTTTCTGTGGGCGAATGAACAGACAGCTGTGTGTAGGTAACTTTCTCACTGTTAGTGTTAGAATATGTGTGTGTGTGTGTGTGTGTGTGCAGCCTATCTTCCTGTCTCTCTTCATGTGTGTCTCTGACTACAAACACACACACACACACACACACACACACACACACACACACACACACACACACACACACACACACATATCTGCAAACCAGTCATGTCATTTTAAAGTCAGACTTCCAAAATAAAAGCAGATTTCAGGGTTTATCTTCATCATCATGAGTCGGTGCCATGAGGAGCGATGAACTCTTCTGGTGGTTTGTGGTGAACCGACATCCCATCAATACACTCTCTGGTGTTTTTGTAACCGAGGAGTTCCTTCCTCGTCTGGTAGATTAAAAACTTATGAACTTCCTAACTTATATTTTATCTGTATCATGATAGGGATTTGTTCTTTTAACAAAAGAATCTTTCCATAGTTTTTCAACTTTTTTATCACGTTTTGATGCAGAAGTTCGGGAAGACTCCTGGAGGGCCGATCTATTCCAGGACACACGGGTCGGTGGTCGTAGATTTTGTCATTAGTTATTGTTCGGTCCTCGGCTGTGAAATAAAGCAGCCACTCTTCGTTTGGGCTGATCCTTGTTTTAAAAAAAAAAATCTGATTAATCTGATTTCCATTTCAAAACCGAATCAGAAAAATAGACAAAACATTTTTTTGGTTTTAACATACTTAAAAAGTATGTTGCTGGACTCTAATAACTACAACATTTTGGTGAGACCAGTGACTAACCCGGAAACTCCAGCGGGCTTTATAACGTGGTGTCTGCTACGTGTTTTGTTCTCTGTGATCTCCAAATCCCACCGAGAGCATTTCAGAGCGTGTTGTTTGCCATATGTTGTTTACTTGTGTATTTTGCCCTTATAGAGGAAACAAAACCGGTGTTTCTCTGCTTAAAATGTTAACCTTAAAGGTCCAGTGTGTATCATTCAGGAGGATCTATCGGCAGAAATATAATATTCATGGGGATGTTTTAATTAGTGTTTAATCACCCGAATATAGGAATCGTACAGACGCTGGCTGTACACAGGAACATTGTACCACTGTATTTGATATGGTGATTCGAAGGGGAGGGTGAAGCAAGGGACACACAGCCAGATGCCACTAAATCCTAAACGCACTGTTCCTTTAAGTACAATTTTAAGTTACTTGTACTTTTACATTTGATGCTACTTTATAGTTACTTCACTGCAGTACAGAGGGAGATATTTTTTACCACTTCAAAATTGATTGAATTGTAACTTAACTTTGGTTTCTGCAGAACTAAAGACATTCCCATCAGTCTCAGCTGCAAACATTAGCACGCTAACCTGCCTAAACAAACACTGTAAACATTAGTCTATTAACTCTATACCCACCAAGATATTCCAGTAAGGTGAAGTAAAGTGTTAAACAAGCGTAGCATCAGGGCTGCATATGATATTCTGACAGTTTAGTCTTTTTGTTGACGTCTGTAGCAAACAAACATGTTTTCTTACATCTGGAGAACCAGTGCGTCTCTGCAGCTCTACAGTACTTTATTAGAAACTGCAGCTACCTGGGAGTTGGATGTTACAGCCCCAGTTAGCCTTGTTATTGTGAGCATGCTAGTGTTAGCATCTAGCTGAGTGGCTACAGAACAGCCTCACAGAGCCGTTAGCATGGTTGTTAGTTCAAAGACATACTTTAGGAGTATACTACATGATAAACTCTTTCCGTTTCTGAGAGAGCGAGGGTTCGGCCACTTAAGACTTCCTGTCTGGGTAACTGTCCCTCGGTGCCGGCGGGAGAAACAGAAGTGAAACTGCACTTTTATCTGCTCGCTGTACTCAGCAGATCAGAGCTGCCACTTTGCAGACAGGTGTCTCTGCACGAGCTTTCAGTCTCCGTTTTCCAACTCTCTGCATGTCACAACACACAAAACGCTCCAGATTCGGCGGCTGAGTTCAGATCGGACACATTTAATGGCAGTTTTGTGAAGGTGTTTGTTAACGCTGATGAAGTAGACACACTACGGTTCACTCCTCTGATACGCACTGACGGCTCATTCTGTCACATTTTCTCCTTTAACTTCAGTATTCTCGTAAGTTTGTTCCCACGTTTCACTCCACAAATGAGCTGAAAATCATGTTTCTTCTCCTATACTTTGTTTACAGAAAGTTAAATACCCTTCTTTAAGGTAAAGTTCCTTCTTAGGAGTTTGATCTGCAGATGCTGTACAGTCGGCGCAGGTACTTACTTGAGTGAATCATGATCGGCTGTCTTTACTGTACGTCTCTTCTTCTTCTTGTTATCTTTCTCCCTCCTGCTCCTCCTCCTCCTCCTCCTCCTCTTCTATCTCTTCTTTGGCTCCAGGTTTTCGTCTTTGGTTCAAGTTTTTAAAAGTCAGCGATGATTTCTTGGTGTGAGCGGTCGCCACAGGTTACAAAACCTTGAAATAGTTTATCTACAGAGACGGGGGAGAGAGAGAGAGAGAGAGAGAGAGAGAGAGAGAGAGAGAGAGAGAGGCAGGTGGGTGGAGGAAGTCAAGAAGGTGAAGAGAGGACAATAGAGAGAGGAGGAAGATAAAGGGGGGAAATTAAGAATAAAGATGTTGTTTCATGTCCGTCTTTGTCTGCTTCACTGATAAGGTTTGATTTAAAAACATTCAATATTTTACAGTGTTTACAGAGAGACAGAATGAGAGAGCGAAGGATATAAAAGAGAAAGAGATGTAGAGGAAGTGAAAGGATGACGTGAACAGAAAACCACAAAGCATCCGTCTCAGTCTCTGTGAATAACTCCAGGAAGAACTCGCTCACGCACAGAAAACATCACTGTCAAAGCTGTTTGGTTGAAGTTAGAGAGTCTTTAACTGAGAGTTAACAGGTAGCTCACCTGGTCGACTGCTGCAGCAGCTTCCTCCCTTTCCTCGCTATCTTCTGCTGTTTCTATCCAAGAAAAGGCAGAAACCCCCCCCCCCCCAAACAATCCTCAATTGTGGCTCTAGATAGGGGAGGGTGAAGTGAGGGAGAAGCAATCTGGTCCTTTAACATGATCGACTCCTTGAACCAAACTAAGAGTTAACAGGTCGCTCACCTGGAAGAGAACCTGCACCATGAGGCCTTTACTGCTGCTCAGTCTGTAGGGGAACAACGGTCTGGAGAGTGGACTGGTTGCTGGAGAGGTGCCAGTTCCTCCTCCTGGGCACTGCCGAGGTGCCCTTGAGCAAGGCACCGACCCCCTAACTGCTCCCAGGGTGCCACTGACTCCACCATCTCCACAAGCCCCGTGTGTGCATGATTGTGTTTATGGTCTATATGTGTAAAAACTGAGTGACCCCATTGGGTTTTTAATAAAGTGAATCTTCTTCTTTCCCGCCTCTCGAGCTAGAAGAAAGAGTTGAAGCAGCAACAAGGAACATTTCACTCATACACTCCTGTACACACATCTGTATTCTGTCATCAAGCTCAGCTGTTTTGTAGCCAAATCTCAGATGTCGAAGCGTCTTTGAACACATCAAAACAATCCTCTCTCTCTCTCTCTCAGCTGCCAACCTTTTATTGCTACCACTAATACCACCCAGTCCACCGCTCCGAGACGTCTTAAAGTGACGGCAGTTACCCGCAGGAGGTTCTGGGTCTCTGCGAGTTGATTGTGTAATAAAAGAAGTGAAACCAGCTGCAGGCTGGCATTAAAGAAGTGATCTCACAACATGTGATACTGTATGTGGTTGTTGATGATGTTCCGTACAGTTGTTAAACCGTCTGGTTTCACATTAAAGGTCTCACACACACATACGCTAGTATTTGTACCCCTGTGAGGACCCTCATCCAGTTACTGCAGTCCTGAACCCGCTTCGCCAAAAGTGTCCTCGCTTTTAAAAAACGTCCTCAATGTCAGTGTCCCTAAAACGTGTCCTTAAAGTTTTAAACTCTTCAAATTTGTCCCCAAAAATCTCCTTAGTTTACAAATTGTATCTCAATTTCTGATAATGTCCGTGTGTTTTTACCCATCCTCATATTTCAAATACATCCTACACTTTTAACAAATCCTGATTTCAAAGCGTCCCCCAATTTTTTATACAAATTGTCCTTAAATGTCCCCAATTAGCAAAAAATGTCCTCAGTTTCCATATTTGACCTCACTTTCTAAAAAAAAAAAAAAACGTCCTCAAACTGCAACTTTCAGCATCTCCACTTTCTAAATTTGACCTCACTTTCTAAAAACTGTCCTCACCTCAAAATTTGCAAGTTTCCACACAAATACCCAAAATTTCACCACTTTCTAAATTTGTCTTTTCTTCACTTTCAAAATAAAAACAAAATATGTGCCCAAGTTTACAAAATAAAAGCCTCTTTACGCAAAAAAAAAAAAATAAAAATAAAAATAAATCCTCACTTTTACTTTTCAAACCTGAACTAAAACTTTAAGAACTATTCAAACATTTTAAGACTGAAACCACCACCACACACACACACACACACACACACACACACACACACCATGTTATTTTTCCACTCAGCTTTCTTGCTGATTTGACAGTCAAATGACACACTCACCACTAACCTCTTTCTCTTTCTCTCTCTCACGCACACTCACATACGCGGAACTTCGTCGTGCACCCGCAACATATGTGTGTGTGTGTGTGTGTGTGTGTGTGTTAAAGTGTGTGTGTGGGGGCTGTCTGCCTTCCTCTCTCTTCATTTCCTGAATCCCGCTCCTCTGATTTACAGCGACATGGGAACCGAGCGCGCACCGAGGAGCTGATACCTGGACAATGACGACTGAAGGTGAGAGGCGTTCATTGCGTCACTTTTTACACATTACGGGATTTTTTAGCGCTAACATTTGCGGCTGTCAGCTGACAAACCGCGGACGCAACACGTTGACAGCGACAGAAAGGCTGCAGGCGGGCTCTCAGAACCGGCTTTAATGGGTTCACATAGCCCGGGGAAAGGACGGAAAGAGTTGTTGTGGGATAAGTGATGGAAGAGGAATGTTTTAAAGACACAACAGGAGGAAATAATCAGAGACTGATATGAATGTTCTCTCTGGTGTATCTGACGCTGTCTGATCGGATCGATAGGGGCGGGTTATTGGCGTTAATCAACCTGACGTGAGGATAATCCACCTGTGAGAGAGCAGGTGTTCACGGTCTCCTTCACACAGGCTGAGCTGGGCGCTTCCTTGTGCTGCGTTCAGGTGCTGTCGGAAAGACGGACATTAGAATGGTCAATGTGTCTTACAGCGGTGGAATATAAATATAAATATTAAATACTACTATTATTATTATTATTACTACTACTACTGATACTAATACCATTTCTACTACTACTAACACTACTACTACTACTACTACTACTAATATTAATACTACTGCTACTTCAATATAAGCCTTGTACTTAAGTACTTGGGTAAACGTACTTAATATTAGTATATAAACGTATAATGACTGTTTATATGTGAATGTTTCTGAATGCAGCATTATTTAAAAATAAAGTCAGTTCGTTTCTACTGATATTTACACACACACACACACACACACACACACACACACACACACACACACACACTACTTCTACATCTTATATCTTTTTCACAGCAGCCACTTTGACATGAATCGATTGGGTAAACTCAGGCGTTCCATTTAGTGCAGCCAATATCAGACTCAGTTTGAACCTGAATGGAACTGAACCTTCATTAATACCCAGTGTTTACAGCTGCTGTGATAAAAGGTCTGTTGTTCCAGCTCTATATAGCAGGTTAACGTCATATTTATTCTTTGCTCTGACATGAGTCGGTCGAATAAAGGAGTGTATCTCACACCTTATAAACAGGAAAGCAGGAAGAGGGGAGAGCTGACACCATAAACCACAATGAGACAGCAGCAGAGGACAGCGAGCTGCCGCCACGGCCGCCACATCCCTCACGCCATGTTCAGTTTTAAGATGAGGAAGCGGCGAGACTGAAGAGAGACTCTCAGCGTAGGGCCCAGGAATTATAAAAACCACACAGGAGAAAAAAATGGCAACCGGTCGGCTAACTATCTCAATTATGAGCTGATGCTGTTTAACGAGTTTAACTCTGTTAACTGCCAGCTTTCAGACGAACATATGAACCAACAGGAGACTTTATTTGGCTGAAAAGTCGGCAGTTAACAGGGTCACAGCCCCCTGCAGGCAGGAGGGTGTCGGTACTGATTATTATTATTATACAGTATCCTGCTGTAGACCTTACAAATGAGTCATTAACAAAAAGTTACCGTAAATCACCGTAAGGGCTCTAGAAATGTTTTATCATGACTGTCTCGCTCAGAGCCGTTGAACTTGCATTAACAGATCTTTTTTCGGCCACTTGGGGGCAGTAGAGAACAACCTGTGAACACGACGTTGGCGTATTATAAAGGTTGTATGTTGAACTAGTTGGCAAACAGTTAGGTTAGTTACACATCCGGCAGTTACGGCGCAACATTATAATTAACTTTGAGTCCAATATTCGTTCTCTTTTAACTCCTGAAGGAAATATCTGATGAGAGCCGAGAGAGTCAACCAAAAAAAACAACATGCTTAAAGACGCTAAGAGTATTTATTGTGTCTAAAATGAAACCCGTGTCTCTCTCCGCAGCTCAGCTCTGACCTCCTGCGTTCTTACGTCATCCACCAATGGGCTGAAGCGGGGTGGGCGGGGCCAGGATGAGTGCCGAGCTGCTATTGGAGGAGACGCTCATCAAGCGTTCGCAGCAGAAGAAGAAGACGTCGCCGCTGAACTACAAGGAGAGACTGTTTGTCCTCACCAAGAGCAGGCTGACGTACTACGATGGAAGAGCCGAGGTCATTTTTATTGTTTTTATTTACATTTTACATCAGATAAGACGTTCAGATGCAGGTTTCACATATATTTTGTCACATATTATAGCAGCAACTTATCACTGTTAGATTTCAGTCTTTGTACAGTACAAAGATGTAACTTATAATTTAATGAGCTTTAGAGGTGCTAGTAGGTGGATTTTGTTACCTTTAGACAGACAGACTAGACAGCTAAGTTAGCTTCATATTTACTGTACAGACAAGAAAGTCAATTAGTTTTTCATACAAAATAAACAGGCGTCAAGCAATTCCTTTAAATACAAACAACAAAAACCCTCCATTTGTTTTCAACTCTGCATTTAAATTGGACTTAAAACTAAAATCTGTCACAGATTCAGAAGCAAAACACAAACTTTAAGTCGAGTTGTGGTTTGCATTGTTGTGACAAACATGTTAGATAGTGTGCGATATTGTTTCACACTCAACTTTAATTCAGTTTGACGATAAGAACCGGACGCACACACCCAACACCACAAGTGTGTTATCACAGATCCGATCCACCATTGAAGGAAATGATAGTTTATTCTGGGTTTTTAATCTACAACCTAAAATAAACAGCTCATTGCTTCTGATCTAATAAGCTGCAGATAAAATGTGATACAACACAAAGTCTCAAATGTTTGTTTGTTTGTTTGTTTGTTTGTTTCCACCGACAGAAGAAGTTCAGGAGAGGCTCGATCGAGCTGGGTCGCATCAGGTGTGTGGAGATCGTCAAGAACGGAGGAGGAATCATCCCCTGTCAGAACAAATACCCGTTTCAGGTACAAACACAAAGGTTCAACCACAGGACCTCGTCTGTACTGGTGGAGGGACAGTTAGCGTCTATTAGCGACAACCGCTGTCGCCAAACTGTCCTCCGTCTGTCCCGAAGGTTTTTTCTGTAATTTAGTAAACAGATTCTTTTATTGGTGAACTTATTTTTAACAATCATACAGACTTACTACAAAATACTGACATACAGGCCTTCTGTGTGTACGTGTTCTTCAACCACGTCAAGCTTTCTCGAGGCCAGTGGGGGTTTTAGTGGTTTAGATTATCTGGATCAACAGTTTTCACCCTCCACTCCTACTATGTCTTACTTCTATTTAAAGGACAATCATCACTTTTGGTGCTTCGGGGGATGTTCACAGGAAGTCTAATGTCATGGATTACAATTAGTTAGTTGTGAGCTACAATTTGAGCACTTTTTTTAGCTTTTTGTCAAATTAGCACCATTAAAGGTAGCTGAGTTAGCTGTTAGAGGCTCATCATAGCAGTGTACTGCATTACTTTAATACTGAAGGAGTTTTTTCTATGATTTCCAAGTGGATTTATGGTTGTTTATTTGTGTATTGTCTGACTTTTGGTCCACCGGAGCTTTCAGCCACATCTCACAGCCTTCATCAGCTGATAAAGTTTTCTCAATTTAGTGTGAAAGCTTCCGGAGAGACCAGGAAACTTGTGATCTGTCTGAACAAAACAACATCATTTACATAAAGACGAGCACCCCACCCGTCTTTAAACTGTGCTGCAGATAAATTCACTTAAGTATCTCTTTAACGAGTTTGTGTTTCTGTCTAGGTGGTGTACGATAACATGACCCTGTACGTGTTCGCTCCGAGCCACGACAGCCGGAGTCTCTGGGTCCAGAGCCTCAAAGAGGGTAGGTATCCTGATCTGCTGCAGAGCAACGACAGTGTACAGTCTGATATACTGAGCTGAAGATGTTTTAACACTTTAAAACCACATGTCTGAAACTGGTTTTCACACATGGGTCAAAGTTCCCAGCAGCCCCCGCTGTTTCCACTGCTCTCGCTGGCACCGTCTAACATGACATTTTACCTGAAAAGTGGCGTTTGTGGGCCAGACGCTGCTTTAGAGGCGATAAGAGAAGAAATTTAAATTCTCACCTCGCTATAGATCAGGGGGTTTTCAGTTGAAGGGGGGAGGGAGGGGGGAGGAAGGGAAGGTTGCTGAGAGATGTGAAGCAAAGATACGGTGTTAGATCAAAGGGACAGGTGCATACTGGGGTTTAAAAAACATGATGATGCAGAGAAAGTTGTCTGTACATCCATGAGTACACTGCAAGCAGGAACTGCTAACAGCTAATTCAGCCTTTATAATGTACGCTTATCTGGATCGGACCATTTGGGACCGGCTCTCGATTCCCATCCCTAGTCTGCACGTCCCCCCAGGAGGACGTTCAGGTCTTTAACCAGACTTTATAACGTTAACGTTGTTTTTGGTTTTCTGGCTCATACAGTAGCATCACGCAGCTGTTCTAAGTCAGTGTGGTGGTCTCATCGTGTTCCTGCTTCCTCCCAAAAAACCACTTATTGGAGGTTTAAAGAATGTTTTGTGTGAAATATTTCAGACTCCTTGTCACACATCATCTATAGACCTGTAGTTCCCAATCTGTTTTCCTTAATTGACCCCTTTTCTATCAGTTAGGAAACATATTATATCAGAAACTGTACAATGAACCCAAACAGTGAAAGTTTGTGTAAAACGAGTGATTTGGAAGAATTTTCTCAATTCTCTGTCTGTAATCAGCCACTGATCTAGGTCACGCGTTATCAAATGATGAATTTTATCTCTGATATTCTCTGTATCCTGACAGCAGTACATGAGATTGTTGAGTATAGCATCAAAAATAATAACCCCAGTTGTGTGTGTGATGGCAATCTTTGCAGTGTGTTTATGTGACGATGTTTGCATACTGTCTCCTCCCTGAAAATGAAAATATTTTGTATATTTTATGTTAAAAATGACAGCGTTGTTTTGTGTTTATTAGTTTCCCATAAAATCTGCGACTCGGTGACCGTGGGAAAAAGTGGCGGCGGGTCTCGTATACGAGGTCAGACCGCTGATCTAGATGCCGAACGTTTATGTGTGTGTGTGTGTTTGTGTGTGTGTGTGTGCAGAGATCAAAGACAACCCTGTGATCTTGGCCAAGTTTCACCCTCAGTTCTGGCAGGAAGGGGCGTGGCTTTGCTGTCGCCAGGCGGAAAAACAGGCTCCGGGGTGCGAGGAGTACAACCTGTTTGGAGACAGTAAGAAATGCAACTGTATTAATGACACCACACCTTTAAGTAACACTGCACAATACTTTTTTATATTCTAACAAACTCCCCCTAGTTGAATTTAATCGGATCAACTTCAGATTTGAAGAGTGCAATCTAAAGACCGTCAGGATTTAAAGTTGTGCTATTTGTGACTTTACGTCGAACGGCGTGACCCGTGGCTTGCCGTCAAATTTCGATGTCCTGCCATGAAACAGGAAGTTGTCATAACTTCAGTGTACTTTCTACAATCTGCACCAAACGTCTCGTCCTGAACACATCGACATGCCAATATTCTGACATACTCGCAGCTTTAAACTGTGATTGTGTTCTTTCTCCCCAAAATTCAGAAGTACGACGATTCAAATCCAGTTTCTTCATGTTAAAATCACATTTTTGTGAATATTTGAAGCCGCTGAATGTTTCTATCCTCCACAACTACAAAATATGAACTCAATATTGGATTGTTGGATTTCAAACAAAAAAAGTAACATAACTTATTATTTTTTGGGTGGGTAACTTTAATATTATGACTGAAATGTATTAGTAATTAGTTCCACTTGTACACTAGCTACTGGGGAAACAATATGAACACATTACTACATTTTTCTAATATTAACTCTGCAGCTCTAAAGAGCTCTTAGCCTATTATAGCTCATAGTTTTGGTTCTAAAGATACACACAGTGAGAAGTCCATGAATAATGTAACTGCAGAACCTGAGAATTATCATGTTTTAAGTTTTTTCTTAAGTATCAAAGTAATTTGGCATTAGTTTGATGTAGACATACGTCCATTTAAGAGGCTTACGTACTTATTTTAAAGTATTTTGTAGTAATTTAAGTGCCGTTTGTGCCTCTAAATTATGAATACATTCATGTTTAAACAGCACTTCGAGCAGTTTATAGAAAGTAACCAGCTGTCAGATAAATGAGTTTAAAAAAAGAAACAGGAAAGAAGTATAAAAGATATATTAAGCACATAAAACTTGAGTATTTGAGGTATTTGGTTAACTGTACTTCATTGTCAGTAACATAAAGTTGCCTGATTGGTGGTAAATGGTTTAAAATATGCAAAAACAGCGAAATACTGATGTTTAAAAATACTTCTGCTGGATATTTTTTGCAGGGTAGAACCTGAAACGCATGATTCACCAAGTGTGAAAGAAAAACAGGAAATAACGTTAAATTTAAGCCGTTTGCTGATTCTCTTACCGATTGCTGCAGCAGCGTGAGCTTCAGATCTCTATCTCACCAACATTACGTAATAATTAAAGATTACAAGTCAGCAGCAGCAGCGGCGAGAGTTCAAAGGTCAGAGGTCAGAACAGCAGAGATGAAGATGATAAAGAAACGTTCTGCCTTCCCTGACTGTTTCTGTTCCTCTTTTCTAGTTTCCAGAAAACCTTTACCCCCGATTCCTGGAGAGAAGGTAACCGCACACCCAAACCCTCACACCCACACACACACACACACCCACCACACACACACACACACACGCACACATACACACACACACACACACACACACACACACACACACACACACACATACAGATTTATGACATGTCATTTTTCTTCATCATCCTCCAGCGGCGGCCCCCTCCTCCCGTCCCTCCGTCCAATGACGATGATGACTGTGACGGTGATGATGATGATGATGATGAGGACGATGAAGAGGAGGTGGTGGTGGCGCTGTACGACTTCCCGGGCGCCGAACCGCACGACCTGAGTCTGGCGAAAGGAGACGAGTACGTCATTCTGGAAAAATGCGACATCAACTGGTACAGGGCGCGCAACAAGTACGGGTGAGTGAGCCCCCCCAAAAGCCTAAAAAAAGTAACAATCACATATAATACATCAATATAAGGTAGAAAATTAGTTAAATATGTTGACAACTATGTTCTCAATGTGCAATTGTTCCTTTATATCATAGAAATGTGGGAAATGTAGTTGAAAATCCTCTGAACTTGTGGACTGGACTATACACAGTGACAACAGCCCTTCTAGAAACCAAATATTCGTAAATGTAATTACACATTTTATTGTACTGAGGAAAAAAAAAACAAACAAAGAAAAAACAAATTCAAAACCATCATAAAAATAGTAGTAGTAAATATTTTGGTCACTTTATTGAGCTGAATTTAAGAATTTTAATCTAAGATTAATAATCAGCGATAAAATCTTAAAAAGCAGCAGAATAAAAATAAGTGACTTTGTGTTAAATTAAAGCTCCAGAAACATTCTTATTTTTATTTTATTTTTTATTAAAACAATAAAAAACTAAACAGCTGCTTCATTTCTTACACTGCGAGGACTTTCTGTTAAACTGAGAAGTTGTGCAAGTGGTGTTACTCTTAAAATAAGTAAAATAATCTTGTTCCTCTTTTGCTGATATTATGCAACCATTGTTGTTGCTGGTTAAATTGAGCTCAATATTAGCTGTAATATCTTATTTAGACAAAGTTAGTTCTTATTTTTCGAACGTCAAACATGCTCGACAAGATGATTTATAAGTAGGACTAATTTCCCAGAAACTAGGTTTATTTTTAACTTTCTTGATCTTCCTTCTTTTCTCCCAGTTAATATCTTGAGTCTCAGTTTGTGAGTTTCTGTGTTTTGACTTTTCTCGTTATTATTTCCTCGTGTGTTTTCTGTGTGTTTCCCAGCGAGGAAGGCTACATCCCGAGTAACTATGTAACAGAGAAGAAATCCGGAAACCTGGTGCAGTTTGTGTGAGTTTGTTAATCATTTCACAGTCAGATCAACAATAAAGTTACGGCGCCTTTACAACAGTAACAGATGTTGATCTGATCTTTATTATTAGGTTATTTTACTGCTCGTTTTTAATATTGACTGAATCCAATTGACCTCATCTGCACTTATTTAGATTAGTTAGATACACTTTATAATCTTTATGGTGCAAATGTACCTTTCTTATTTGAAGACATGTATTTTTTTTAGGTTTTTATGTATTTTGTGGATGAGGATTCAGTTTAGATTCAGCTAATTTATAAGTTTGCAGAGCCAGATATTCATCTTTTAAAGCTTTTAAATGACCGGAGTCAATAACATAACAAAAAGGGAACGATTAATATATAATTGTTAAAGGGATGTTTATGTCTTTGTTTGTTCCAGTTGGTACAGTAAAAATGTCAACAGGAACAAGGCAGAAGAGCTGCTGAGGAAGGAGGTGAGAATCTCTTTTCTGTCTTTATTTCTCCCACAGAATATAACAGCATAAAACCTTCAAAAACAGAAAGGTTGGACACTTCCTGAATGTGGAATCATGGGAATTGTAGTTTATTTTGTTCAGAAGGTGAAATCTACAAACTAACAGGCAGGAACGTGATTTTGGGGACATGCAGTAAAGAAATTATGATTAATAACTACTGTTTTCAATTACATATATTTAAAATTAGAGAGATTTTAAGTTAATCTATTGAACAATAAGGAATTATGTATAGTTATATTTGCTTAAAAAGGAGTGTATGTGCTTAAAAAAGGCAATTAAAATAAAAAAAATCTATATTTTATATGCATTTTTTGTGTTAATGTTATAAAGAAGACCCCAATGTATCATAAAACCCTTTGGAATAAAGATTTCATACATTTTAGGGGAAAATATTAAGAATTCACAAATAGCCAGGAATTGAATTTTTTATTTTATTTTATTTTTTTACATAAAATATTGATTTGTGATCACGATAAACCAAATTTCTCTTTCTGAATCACCTGAAAACAAAATGTAAAATCTCCTCTGTGTGTGTGTGTGTGTGTGTGTGTGTGTGTGTGTGTGTGTGTCGCCCCCTGCAGGACAAAGAAGGAGCCTTCGTTGTCAGAGACTCGAGCACTGCAGGAGCTTACACCGTGTCTCTGTATGCAAAGTCTGCTGCAGGGTAAAGATGCTGTGGCCATCTTTAACCAACAGAGATTAGATAAAAGAAGCAGCTACATTAAAGAACCATGAGAGTGCTTTTATTATTAGGTTCTTGCTGGTTGCTGCAGATAAGAAATATACATTAACTTTTATCAGTAGACCCAACAAAAAGTCCTAAAATTCTGCATAAGCTGGATGTAAAGTGCTTTTGTTGATATGTTGTTGATGTTGTGTGTTCGTAGGGAGGGAGGAGCAGTAATAAAACATTACCACATCAAGGAGACACAAGGCTTGTCTAAACAGTTTTACCTGGCCGAGAAACACTTGTTCAGCTCCATCCCCGACCTGATCGAGTACCACAAACACAACGCAGCAGGTAAACGACACGTCATCTGTCCAGAGCTGCGAGTATCTCCAGTTTACTCACTCATGTAAACAGTGTTTGAGTTACAGTGCTGCAGTTGTGGCGGGAGGTTGTCAGGCTGTGAGCTAATTCTTATGGGCAGTTGCACAGCGTTAAAATACGTCCACTAAAAGTTGTTGATTCTTCCACATGGGAAAATAAGGTCTAGATTTTAGAATACCAAGGTTTCCCTTTAAGGAGCTCCACATCTAAGCTCTTAAATCTGCTTCCATGCATTCTGTACATTTCTGTGAAAACGTCTCTCTCTCTCTCCTTTTTGTTTTCTCTGTCTCAGGTCTTGTTGCCAGGTTGAGGTATCCTGTAGGGAAACAGGACAAGTCTGCTCCGACCACCGCTGGTTTCAGCTACGGTAAGTCCAAACCAAGTCTGAACCCATCGTAACATCACCCATTGTTTTGAGCTGCTCTCATTAGCTGCACTTAACTCAGATAAACAGTTCACTGAATTATTTTTTGGGAAGGCAAGTTCATTAAATGGTTTGATTTAAAATCCATCTAGAATGGGCATTGACATTGACTTGCAGATTGTAACCCCTGCTACCAAAACTCATCTCATTGGCAAACGTCCGGGTCTGTTTTACTCTAAATGGGACCATAATTTACTATATGAACATCATATTGTATGGACGAAGATTTAACACTAGAGATTGAGACCATGAACTCATCAGAAAGCTGTTTACTGAGCTCATAAATCAAGTGAGCGGCTCATTTCTCCATAAGACTGGTATTGGAGCTGCCATTACAAAGAATGCAGGTTTAAGGTGCTGTCCGTTAGTTATATACAGTCAGTCGTCCCAACAGAGCTCAGACTTCATACTCTACTCACCTCTCTCCTGTATATTTCCCTCTATCCAGAGAAGTGGGAGATCAACCCTAGTGATCTGACCTTCATGAAGGAGCTGGGCAGTGGTCAGTTCGGTCTGGTGAGGCTCGGCAAGTGGAGGGCTCAGCACAAAGTAGCCATCAAGGCCATCAGAGAGGGGGCCATGTACGAGGAGGACTTCATCGAGGAGGCAAAGGTCATGATGTAAGGAAGGGAGGGGAGGGGAGGGGAGGGGAGAGGCAACTGGTTTTAGTAAAATGAGTTATAAAGGAGGAGACATAGGGATGAAAAACAAGAAACATATATGACCAAAGATTAAAAGATAATGTGACCTCTGCCGCCATCTACTGGAGCTTATTAGGAACTGCAACATGTCCTGTAATGCTACTGTTCTCTGAACAATGGTGGCCCGTAATTGAATTATAAAGTAAAACTTTTCCAGTGTAAATAATTAAATAAAGTGACGATTAGAGCAGAAATGAATGAGGATATCTAAAATCAGAACACAACAGACGGTTCGAAGATAAAATAGCTTTGTTTTGTTTGTTTTTGCTCGAGAACGACGCCGTTTATTTTTAACAGACTGCAGAAAGTTGACGATAGATGACAAAGTGGACACTCCTGATTTCAAAGTGGAAGAACATTATTACTATTGAAACGTCAAATTGTGTTTCACCTAATTTTAACACAAAACAACACAAAAAAGTGAATCACCAACACTTGATTGAGTTCTCTGATCTGTATCTGCTGGACTCATTTGATTCTCAGTAGATGTTGGATTTGTAGGTAGGTCACTCAGTTGGTAGGTAGGTAGGTTATCAGTGCATCCTTGTCTATAATCTAGGTCTTTGTTTTCTCCAGGAAACTGTCTCACCCTAAACTGGTGCAGCTGTACGGCGTGTGCAGCCAGCACAAGCCCATCTACATCGTCACAGAGTTCATGGAGCACGGCTGCATGCTGAACTTCCTCAGGCAGCGGCGGGGCAGCTTCAGCCTGGGGTCCTTGCTGAGTATCTGCCTGGACGTTTGCGAGGGCATGGAGCACCTGGAGGCCAACGGCTTCATCCACAGAGATCTGGTAACTGCAGGCTCCTTCATTCTCCAGTCCAGGTTCTGGTTCTTCATCCAGAACCCAGGACCTAACATTTGGGCAAATATAATCTTAAAGTGTGTAGGATTTAGTGGCATCTAGTGGTGTAGTTGCTGATTGCAATGCCCTCGCCTTACCTGCGTGTTCCAAGTGTTTAGGACAAAGTGGGTAAAACTGGGTGAAGTTGCTCACCATATGCACACATATTGGCACCTTTAAAGGACCAGAGTGTAGTATTTAGTGGCATCTAGCGGTGACTTGCAGATTGTAACCAACTGAACACCAGTCACGTCTGTATTTGACGATACCTGGGAATGAGAACGGGATGTGAAATGTGTAGGAGAAACTATGGTTGACATGAAACTCGAGAAAAAAGCGAAAGTTTACTATGTAGCTTTGTAGATATAATCTCACCATAAGGTAACGAAAACACATCAACCTTTTATTTTCAGGTGATTATACACTAATGAAAACATACCTATGAATATTATTTTCTATTTCTGACAATAGATCCTCCTAAATGTTAAACACTGGACCTTTAAATTTTACTTAAAAAAAAAAAGTCAGACAGCAGGACTCTCAAACTTTAAACAGATGGTATTGTCATCTCACAAGACGGCCACTTCAACGTTCAAGTACTACAAGAAAGTACTACTAGCAGCTCTTTGAGGCTGTAGTCAGGAGCTAAATGCCAACATCAGCTCATAAAGAGAGCATGACTTTATCAGACATGAAACAGGCCTGTGGAAGACATTTGAATTATACGGTACAATGAGTTTATTACAGTGGGGGAAAGGATATGCTAACTTTTTGTAATAGATTACTCTTAATTAACCTGAACACTGTTCCTCAGTTCAGTTCAAACTGACACTTTGCATAACTGAAATGGAAATAGTGTGGTCGCCTGTAGTAGAAGCCTGTATGATCAAACATAAGACTGTACCTCACCAAAGTCTCTATGAGTCATTGTCTCTAAACCATGAATGTCTGAACCAAATTTCATAGCAATGCATCCAGTAGTTGTTGAGATATTCCAACAAACAGATGCTGATATTTGTCTTTGTTTCCCTTCATTTATGTTTCCCTCCTTGCAGGCTGCCAGAAACTGTCTGGTGAATGACTCTCTGGTGGTGAAGGTGTCCGACTTTGGCATGGCCAGGTACGAATTTAATCAACCCTAACAACACCGGGTATATTTTTAAAACGGCGACAGTGGTAAAATGAACCTTCCAAGTGAAGGCGGAGACAGCAGCTGTATGCTGAAGTATCTGCCTACGCAACAAGAGCTAAAATAACAGAAATACTGACACTGAAGACACTGAGCAGCACGTCCATTACTGAGAGTCAATAATGGCACTGATATCAATAAGATCTTAGCTAGTCCCATCCTCATGTACATTTTGAAGTATCACATTCGAAAAGTTTGGTGTAAACGCCAAAATTCGATAAAAAAACCCTAAGTTGTGCAAATATGGTTTCATGCTCATGTGAGTTAATGCTCTCAGTTGGAGTTGGAAACACTTTTTACCAAATAAGTTCGGCTGTAGCGAACATTTAACTAACATGTATGATCATCTGTCTCCTCATCGCTCCCGTGGCGCTATAATACATCTGTGATTTCTCCACAGATCTGATCTGAATATTAATTCATGAAACAATCTTGTTTTTTTTGTATAGCTTCACCATTAGAGATTCGACTAGCACTCTTTTTTGTCCTCTTGTTGCGTCCCCCGCCTACTGCTCATCTCATGAACCAACTCCTGATCTTCACCTAACAGTAGTGGATGGAAACAAGAATTCATTCGCACTTTCTCCTGCTGATTGACTAGAAACTTGGTTACAATGTGCGATGCCATTTGGATGGAAATGATGCTAATGTCACATTTAAATGTTGACGTGTGTTTTGCAGGTACGTGTTAGACGACCAGTACACCAGCTCATCAGGTGCTAAGTTTCCTGTGAAGTGGTCGCCTCCTGAAGTCTTCAACTTCTGCAAATACAGCAGCAAGTCAGACGTCTGGTCCTACGGTAGGCACCCGCTAACTATCAATAATATCACATTTCTATCAGCCTCTGGAGGAAGAGGGTGTTCCTTTATTTTTAATATATTTTAACATTTATTAACTATGAACTAACATTGAGAGTTCTAACAGTGAAGCTCTCGACTCGTGTCGTTTGTGTGTTTCCAGGCGTGTTGATGTGGGAGGTTTTCACCGAGGGTCGTATGCCGTTCGAACAGAACCAGAACCATGAGGTGGTTACCTTGGTAACCAAGGGTCACCGCCTCTACAGGCCTAAACTGGCCACGCCCACCATCTACGACATCATGCAGCTCTGTTGGCACGAGGTGAGAACCGTGAGAAACAATCTGTTTCTGTGTTTTATTTGATCTTTTCAAGTCTTATGTCCAGTTATGAGCTGTTTTTGTATTGATTTAATGCAAATGGTTCTGACATGCTTGATTTACATGCAGCACCAATCAATAACTGCCATTTGTGTCCACTTAGGGGCAGTGAAACAAGCTGTGAACACAACACTGACATATAATTACCCCTTTAAGTTGATATGTTGTAGGTCACATTCAGGGACAGCTTGAAATAATCAGAATTTTCTGTGTTCATTATTTCAGAGACCGGAGGAGCGTCCGTCGTTCTCTCAGCTCTGCCTGATGATCTCCGACGCCCTGGAGGGTGACACCCCTCCCCCAAACTGATCAACTGACCAATCAGCTGCTTCCACCATTCACGTCATCTGTGGCGGCCATGTTTGACCCACAACCACCGTTACAGCGGTTATTGTATACCTTGCAGCAGGAGGACAACATGGAGAACGTGGAGTGATACAGTGTCTGGAACTGACCAATCAGGAGGAGCAGACGGACCAATCACAACTGTTTTATCCAATCAAGTCACTCAAACGTCGCTTTTACAGCTGTTAAAACTGAAGCTGCGTTCACAACACAAACTGCTGCTCACGTTGGATCTGTTTTAGGAGGACACCAACATGAACTGACTGCAATGTCCGTGCCTTAAAGTCCTTTTGTCAGAGACCGGTCAGTGTTAAAGAGAACAGTGTCCGCTATCAAAAGCATATCAAGATCTGAAGCTTAATTTTCCTTCCAGTAAGGACTTTGTGAATTGTTTCTGTAACTTTTAAGGAATCTCAACAGGTGTCTAATTTTTTTTGTTTTATTCCAATTTCTGACAAATTTAGCTGCAGTGCAAATCTGTTTTTACATCATTTTCTTCACTGCATTAATATTAAAAGTACTGTAGAGAGAAAGTAAATGATTTGGGTGGTATTAATCTTCTGATTGCATCATAATGGAAAAGAACACTTTCAGTTTGATTAAAAGTTAGCTTAATATTAATGATAGTAACTTGAATTTTTATTTATTTATTTTTTCTGATATTTTTTGGGTGTTTTTTTTGATAGGACAGCTGAAGATACACAGGAAAGGGGGGTGGGGCAACAACAAAGGGCCGCAGGTCAGAATCAAACCCGAGCCACTGCAGTAAGGACTCGGGCTACATGGGGCGTGCACTCTACCATGAGCCTCTTAACTTGCATTTATATAGGGCCTTTTAATGTACTGCGCATTAACCAGAGTACAGACGTCTGCAGGCCAGTCTGTTGCACGTGGGTTGAGTGCAGGTTAACCTTTCACTATGTTTGCTACATTATGCCGAACAGGGGAAAGTTGCCCAATGTGACCACAAATTCACAAGCTTTGCAGATTTTGGTGTAATATGATGGAAAATACCACAAAAAAAGGGAAATGCAGCTTCAGCAAAGAGAGCGAAACTACTTATAACTGTTGACGACGACACATGTTAAAGGCTGAACCTGAATAGTCTATTGTTATGTGATGGTAAAGGGCAGAATAGATATGTTTATTTATGTATATATATGTATACTACCTCTCAGAATGGGAAACATGTCCCACACAAACATACTCTTTGGCCCACATTTGGTGTGTTGAGATCTGGTTCCCCTATTTACAGGAGAGGATTTTGACTGGGAGCCAGTGGAGGTGGATGGGTGCGGGGTTGATGGACTCTGCACATACTAGAGCCTGTTTAGGGCTTCGCTGGGAACCCTGGACAGGACTCCATTGCATGAGTCCAGGGGGAGGTGATGAAAGCACAAATCAAGTATCAACTTTAATTTGATAAAAAAGATAAATGCTATTGTCATTTCAGACAGAAGTAGATAAAAGCAGCTTTTCATTTCCAGACAGTAATCAGTGATTTTGCCTTTTGTGTTTTTACAAATTTTAAAACACTTGATGGCTTCATACAAAAAGCTAAAAGTCTAAAGAGGCGAAGTTAATTGTTCAAACTTTAGCTGTAGATTATTCCTCTTCGTACATACAGACTTCGTCAGTTCACGGTTCTTCTTTGTCAGGTTAACCACACCATTTTAATTTCACAGTTCGCTTTATGCAAAGTGTCTTTGAGTATCTTCTAATGACTTTTTTCAAGATAAAACACAACACATTTTAAAGTGGCCTATTGTTGTGACCAGGCACACCTGTGTCAGTTTCATGCTGTTTAATCTACATCTTGATAAACCAAAAATGTCTGGGCAAAGGAGAAGGGCTCACTAACATGGAACTACATTTGAGATAAATAAACCTTTTGTGTGCATAATCCAATCAAGTCACACAAACGATGAAATATTTTCCTTCAACTAAAAAAAACAAACAAAAGGCAGCAGAAACAAATGGCCTGGAGCTATTCCCTGTTATTAAAAGTAATGGCTCTGACCAGGATTCTAGATGCTAATAGCTAACTGTGCCTGTGTTGAAATGGAGAGCTTTCAGTCATTGCAATGACCACCTGAGGCTCAACCATTGTTTCGTTGGCTCAATTTCTAAATTCCAGTCGTTATTACCGGCTACCGTACGCTCAGTGGCAGTTCAACTAGCTGACTTTGTGATTACGCAGCAGCTTGTTTCTATGTTTAATAATTTCAAGAGCTCTGACGCTAACTCAACAGTACGATGATGCAGGTTATTAAGTTATTAACATTAATTGTACAAACAATGATGATTAAAGATTAGCTCGTTAGCTTTTTAAAGTAATGTTAGCTACATGATGTAAGTAGTTCTAGCTGACTCGTTTCAATGGTTGATGGCTTCATACCTGAATAAAAGACTACTGATATCGAACAGGTCCAAATGTTATCTAACGGTTCTTATCGATCATGTTAACCACACTATTTTCATTTCCACAGATATCGCTACGTGTACTTGTCTTTCAGTATCTTCAGTCAGTTTGAACTACAGAAGAAGTCTTTGTCTGGTTAATTAAGACTAATCTTGTTAGCACATCCTCTCTCCTGCTGAATGTTCTGTATAAACTAGACTCCCTCCGCAAGCTTGTTCATAGCTGAGGAAGCTTAGGATTCCACTGCTGCGTGAACGCAAAGACACTGTTTGGAAGACTTTTGGGAAGCTTGTACACCAGTTGGTAAGTTTTATTTTCCTTAATACTATTCCTATTACTACTATTACATAAATTATATTCACTTTAGGCTTTTCCCCTCACACTGAAACTTCAGTTAGTACTCATCACAGCTGTTATTTATATGAAGTAAACCTTTTTACACTTTCATTTGATTTAATGTGCTTGTTACATGTATTGGTTATTGATTTGAAATGTATGTACAATGTACAATGAAAAATTTGTTAAATTCCATGTAAGTGAGCCCTTCTCCTTTGCCCAGACAGGTTTGGTTTATCAAGATGTAGATTAAACAGGTGTCAGTTTCATCTCTTTTGCTGAGCAGTCAGAGACAAATGATTTATACAGTGGTATCATCATATCTGACGACTGTTAGCTAATGTTACAAAAGAAAAGACTTGAGGACGAACCGACTACAACATTCAACTCTACATCTTTAGTCCCGTTGATAATTTATTAAGAGTCAATTTAAAAAAACTTAACTAAAGAAAATAAACTATACGTGTAACTGCAACCTAACTTAACTCTAATGATTGATTGTGTTTGTTCTCTCCTCTGATCAATGATACAGTGTTTGAAGATGGTGAAACTGAAGACAAGGTCTCTCTGGTTCCTCGCTGCCTTCCTCTTCCTGTCCACTGTTCCCACAGTGGCTGAGGTGCTACATGCATTTTCTTTGTGTGAAGGGTTTCTCCTTCAGGGAAATCCGCCACAGATCCCAGGCATCGTAGTCGGCAGGAACATCCAGAAACAGAACCAATACAAACCCATTTGCCAGACTTACAATAATGTGAGAAGGTATCTGACACTCTACGACACCAGGAACAGGATTCCAGTGTTTTCTGCTTAAGTGCACAGAGGGGATGGAGGAGGGGCAAGACCTCAAGGGGAACTCTGGAAGATCGAACCACAGGTGTGTTTTTCTTTCTCTGGTTCATAAAAGACTGAATTAATAAACATACAGTGATATTGTATTTTGTGTGCCACTCGTGCATCCACATCCATAGAAATACTACGACTATTAACTACTAATAACAATAATTGTAATCTACCACTATAAGGAATAACAATCATACAACTACTTTCACTGCACTTTCATGTAGAGGACACTGGTCAACTGACAGTTTGTTCAACCCTGGTTGGACCCTCTAATATTAAAACAGCTGTCAGAGGTTAGTTTATGGTTTTCTCTTTAAGCAGAGACTCCAGGCTGCAACGTCACACTGGTGATATTCTGTTTTTGTTATTGTCAGAAAAATCCATTAAAAAGCCAACAGCAACAATACTTTCTGACTTCTCCACTCTGTCTGCAGCAGTAAAAAGATCAGCTCACAGATATATAGTTTTATTTAAAAAGGTTCAGTAATTTCCTAAAACATAAGTGTTTTTTATCAAATGCTACTCAAATAGGCGTAAATAGTTCATTTGTTTTGGAATATTTTCAGTGGTGGATTGTTATTATTATTATACTGGTGATGTAGTGAGGGATGGACTGAGACTAAAAAACGGCCCTGGACTTTGACTAGGCCCGGCCCAAAGCAATCGGCGCGCGGGAACTCAACAACAACAACAATAACGCCTGGTATGAGTGTCACGAACCTTAATTGTGGCTCATGATACTATACCATCCAAATTATAGCAATAGCACTGATGTTGACTAGATGTTGTGTTAAGAGCATAGTATTCTAGTTTAACTTGAATACTCACATAGAAATGAAGGTATCATCACACTGCAGTCCCTCTGGCTGATCAATACAAAACAGGTATCTGAAACACACAACACATAGTACTGTATGAGTTATGATAATTCACAATGTAAAGAGGCTGTAAATATACATCCATGCTATCTTAAAATGAATTTATTACTTAATAATCTTAATTAATTTATGCAGTAATTAATCTTGCCGCACAAATTATAATAGCACATTTTAATGAAAATACACCACTACAAATGTAACTTCTGTATTCAAAGTCTTCAAAGTTTGTAAGCATTAACTGTAACGTTACCAAAACTTTAAAAAAACATATTTGTTAATATTAACTACTGCATGTGGCATTTTACAGCTAAAATGTTTAAGTTTAGCTGTTTTAACTACTGTAATCATTATTTCATTTCATTTTTTGCATTGTACTGAGCAACACAAACTGGGTATAGATAAAAATGTAGCAACCTGAATAACATTTCCTAACATCAGCCCTAGCAAGTAACACTCTTTCTTCCTCTCTCATGTTCCATACTTACTTGCCCTGTATCTGCCTGTGGAACCAGCTCATCTTTCTGTCCCTCGTCATCACAGGTGGCCCTATCATGTTGAGGCTGCACAGCTGTCTGGCTCACTTCTTCACTCAACTGGATGCTGCTAATATTAAACTGAACTTGTGCTCTAGTGGTGCTGCTGCTGGCTGTGCTGCTGAACATTTCAGATAGTTTGCGACATTTAGCGGCTTCACTCTCTAAATACGCATTTTTTTCCCCCTCGCCTTCTCAGCCCCACCCTTTTCTTTCAGTATGTGTACAGTATGTGTTCATGGCTCTTTATATCTGCCCAGGTATTACAGTTAAAAATTAACCAGGATAGTTAAACTGTCACAATTACAGAGATGATCATTAATGATCAATGTCTCTGTCACTTTAAATTGTATAAAACAATTTCAAAAACATGTCTGCAACAATGTGGCTCACTGACAGCAGTGAAGCTCTATAGCACAAAGGAATAAGATTGATTCATTAAATATAATTTTTAATGTACGCTTAATTTACTTTATGGATATCAGCCTTCATTGACTTGATCTTTAACTCTTGCAGCTGGATGATGAAAAGGCAGACGACAAGAAGAACATGGAGAAGGAAAAGAACACAAAACCCTACAACAACCAGGCCAGGCTCATTGATTATGCTGTAGGTCCACTGTATAACAGGGGCCATTTTTTTTTCTTCTGACTTCTCCACTCTGTCTGCAGCAGGAAAAAAAAAGTGCTCCCAGATATATAGTTTTATTTAAAAAGGCTTAGAAATTTCCTAAAATAACTGTGGTTTTCAGCAAGTGTTACTCAAACAGGAGGAAATTAGTTTTTGACTATTTTCAGTAGCATATTTAATAGTATAGTGAGTATTTTGGGCAACAGGACTGTGTATGTGGGATTGAGTCAAAATAAACATTGTAAACAGTTTACACTGACAACAATGAAGATCTATAGCAAAGAGGATTAGATTATATTTACTGTACATTTAATATACTTTATGGATACTCTGTCTGCATCATTAACTTAAACGTCTTTAATTCTTCCAGCCTGGGAATGAAGACGAAAGCAAGGACATGGAGAATGACAATGGTGAACTCCAAACACAGGAGGCCAGAAAGGCTGACACTAAAGAGTACAACAAGGGCCATTTATTTCCAAACTCTCATGCGTATGATAATTATGGCAAAAAATCCACCTTCACCCTGACCAACATTGTTCCACAAGTAATCTCATTCAATCAGGGAAGCTGGAACAAAATGGAGACGTGCATCAAATGTATTATGGACACATACTGCAAGGACAACAATGGTAAAACCAAAGCCTTTGTGGTGGTGGGAGCAAAACCAGGGGAAAAAGACAATCACAACGGCAGGGTTAATATTCCCTCCAAGCTCTGGTTCGCCTTCTGCTGCTTCAGTGCCGAGAGCAACGCGTGGATAGCGAGTGCGTTATGGGGCGACAATGTTGCTGAAGATAATAAACAACATATGCAGACCAGGACTCTGAAAGAACTCAGAGAGTCCCTGAAAATTGATGCGTTTCCTAAAAGTAAGTGTCCTGACACAACTCTTGTTAAGTTTGACCCGGCATGAACCAACTTAAAACCCAGCTCCGCTGAAATTGCCCACCCTGAATTTAACCATGTATGCCCTTCCCATTTTAAGATTAATAAAATGTGAATGAAATAAACTGCAGAACAGTGACCACAGAGCACCATCTAGTGTCCTTTCTGTATATTTCAGTTTGTACTGAACCATATCCAACTTCATAAATGGTCATTCACACTGTGTAAATACTGAAGTCCAGATTCAAGGTACTTCTACTCTATTTGATTTATTATGCTGCTTTACATCTACATTTTAGAGGGAAATATTGTACTTTTTACTCCACTACATTTGTCTGACAGCTTTAGTTACTTTTCAGATTACAATACTCTTCCTGTCCAGTGAAAACCACGTATCTCCAGTATTGATGTTGAATGTTTGTGATAAACTGAAGGATGAAGTGTTGCTTTATGGGTTGAGAAAATTAAACATCTACAACAGTAAAATGCAACATACACATTAATGCAGCAGTTATAACAGATATGATAGTAAAACACTTTGTGTACAATGTGCTGATAATACTTACTTTTATTTATGGCTCCTACAGGTAACTTTCATTTTGTGTTGATTCTGGTGTCCCCTGGTGACAAAAAGAGGTATTGTTTCCACCCCCTCATTTCATTCATTTCAAAAGGAATCCAACACGGTGGCAATAATTAAGAATAACTTTATCAAAATAATTTTAAAATTCTCTTAAATTGAGTTTTATAACCAGTTAAAAACTTCTTCTGCTGCTCCAATTCAAGTCACATTCTCCTCGGTTCATAGAGCCCTGCCTTTACAACCAGCTACATTGCACCTATTGATTAACTTAAATGATGAACACAATGATTGAAGGTTTATTTAACATGACCAATGATTTTAGACATCATCTCAATAACCAATAAAATACAATAGTATCTGACTCCAACTCTATTTGTTACCTAATGAAAGCCGTTTCTCTCGTCTTCACAAGTGGTGATTGTAAAATGTGCTGCACACACAGGTGAGGTAAAGTACTTAACAAGTCTCTCTCAGGACACAGGTGAATTAGGAGTAATCTATCATTGAAGGTTAGCACATCCTCTCATCCACTGCAGGGGCATGTCTGGAGTTTTTTGACTGGGGTGACCCAAGTATGTGTCTGTGTGGAAATAATTTAATTTTTTTCCTGTGAAAACTTGCGTATTCATGCTTGAGTTGACATTTTATCACCATATATAGTAATGATAGAGTACGTCTGCAACATGACTTAGCGTCTTGTGCAACTACGATACAGCGTACTTATGAAACTTATCTTTTAAAATGTACAACAACAAATTAAAGGAAGTCAGACAGTTGGAGGAAGACTGATAATTATGTCCCAATTACATGCACCAAGATAGGAATGCACGGTCAACACCCTGCAGAGTATAAACTAAAGAATACGCTAAAGAGCTTCAGTTCTGGTAAAACAGTGTGAGTTGGACCCCAATGGCATTATATTTGTAATAAAGACTATCACTGGGAATCTGAGTCTCACTCGACCTATTGATGAAAGAATTTGTCTGATATGTGTGTTACAAAAAATACTTTAGTTACTATCATTACAGTATCACAGCACAAAAGAGTGGCACCAAACCAATATGAAATAAAGCTTCCATACTTGGCAAAGTCAACCAGTCTGAAGGTTTTCAATCAGACCTCAACAGGTGATTTCTCTGATGAATACTTCACTACGAGACTAGTCTAGTGTGATGATCCCTCCCCCCTCTGGTTGGTCTGGGTCTTTTTCCCTCTTTCCAGGAGACAGAGTGGCAGAGGGTGTGGTCATTAGATGGGCTACACCTGGTGTGTCCTGATTGCTGCTCTTTATAAATGGCTCTCTCTCCCTCCTTCCAGTCAGCAAGTTCCTGGTTTCTTGCTGTCTTTGGTATTTGGAAATATGCATTACCTTTTACACACACACACACACACGCACACACACTACTGATCTCACTGACGTACATATACATATTATGATTTATGACCGTGAATATTGTTTAATTAAACTTCTTTTGGTTTAAAACATTTAAATTCTCTGTGTGGTCTCCCTCCTTTGTCATAACCCTAGAGCAGGTTCATGACACTAGTCTGTCTCTCCGCAGCTCAAGTAATTGATAATTTCATAGGTGTGACCTCAAAACACGTAGAGTAGTCTAAGGCAACAGTAGTTCACGCAACGTTGACATTTATGACCAGTTTTATCACATAATACCATATTCTCTACACTTTTATTGGCATCATAGCAGTTTTATCACAGATATGAGGAAAGTGTTTGACGTTAACTATGATTTTAATTTGAAGACATCATCTCATTAACCAATCCACTGTTATAATATCTGTAACTCTATTTGTTACCTTGAAGGCCATTTCTCTTGTCTTCACAAGTGGCCATTGTAAGATGTGCTGCAAACACAGGTGATACTGATTCTCTTTCTACAAGTAACGCTTTAATTTAGTCAACTTGCCAACACATCTTGAAGTCTTTCTCGGGATACAGGTGAATTAAGAGTAATCTATTACTGAACGTTAGCACATCCTCTCATCCACTGCAGGGTCATGTCCTTTTTCGACTGACCCAATTATGTGTATGTGTTGAAATAACTGTATTTTGCAAGACACTTCTGTATCATGCTCATGTTGACATTTTATCACCATATATAGATATAGAGTACTACTTCTGCAACTTAAAGGGGAACTTTGGCAGATTTTTACCCTAGTCTTGATCACTATAGGTCCCCGAGTACTGTCGATAGGAAAAAGAACGACCAGAATTGGTTCTAGCAAACTGGAGATGCTGCAGCTAATGGCCAGAGTTCCCAGTTAGTTATAATACACTTCTTGGGGGCATATCCTAAACAGTGCCTTTTGCTCCTCTTAACAGACACAAAATGCAATTAAAATGTCTGCAACATGCTCAGGGCCCTTACGTGACAACAGCATGCCTTTTCAACTCATATGTTGTGCAGAAACCACACAAAACAGTCCTGTCGCCTACCTGTTTTTCCACCGCTCGCTTCACCGAAAGACCAGAATAATCGATCTGCTTGAGTTGACATTTTATCACCATATATAGTAATGATAGAGTACTTCTGCAACTTGACTTAGAGTCTTGTGCAACTATGATCCTGCATGCTAATGAAACTTATCTTTTAAAATTAAAAAAACAACAAATTAAAGGAAGTGAGACAGTTGGAGGAAGACTGATAATTATGTCCCAATTACATGCACCAACATAGGAAGGCACGGTCAACACCCTGCAGAGTGTACACTGCTACATACACTGAAGAGGTTCAGTTCTGGTTAAACAGTGTAAGTTGGACCCCAATGGCATTATATTTGTAATAAAGGATATCAGTGAGAATAGTTCATTTTATACAGTGAGGTTGAGTGTCCAAAAAGAGTCTCAGCTTTTTAGTCATAGACAATTTATGCAATCCCAATACTCTTTATGGACTCCAGTATGTAGAAATATTACACTATATGAAAGTACACACAAGGACGTTAGGTGAAAATAACACATTTATATAGTATTGAATAAACTGCATGGGATTAGTATAAAGTAAGCATGTTCATAAAGAGGACATTGATGGGTGCCCACAGAACATATTCACATTCAGATATCTTGAGGTCAGAGGACAAAGGCCCCTTTTAAAATTGTGTGTGCCAGTTTAGTGGATAAATATAAGAGACTATAGATGAAGTCTAATGGAGACGTTATATTAAACATTTAAAGGTGCTAGGCCACTAAAAGCACAGTCTAATTTAATCTCATTTTTAGCACTATTTAGCCCCCTTCCTGACACAGTATCATGAGCTAGTTGGTACCAATGGATGCGTTAGGTCATCTAGGTTCATCTGATACCAATATCTGCACTTTAAAACAGAGCCTCCTACAGCCTCTGAGAGACAGTGCAGAGAGGAAGGGGTTAGGATGATGAGGTGGTACCTTGGGTGGCCAATCAGAATCGCTGCCCTATGGACACGCCCTCTGTCATAATCTGCTACATTTTCTGTATAAATTAGACTCCCTCCGCAAACTTTCATCCATCTTTGTGGAAGACCTTCTTGTTTCCACTGCTTCATAAACACAAAGACGCCATTTGGAAGATACGTTGGAGGTGGTGAGTTTTATCTTTCCTGTTTTTTTTCCTTCAAATTTGGCTTTGAAAATTCAGTGAGGATTAATTTAGAGAAGCACAGCTGTTATGGTTATATTAATAGGACGTAAATGTTTCCAACAGTTTGATTCGATATAATGTACTTTGATTATTGATTCAAATGTATGTTGCCACAGTTGCTGTATATTACTGTATATAAACTGCACAACAAATAATTATGCAATGATTGTTTTCCTGTCAAAAAAGAAATGCTAATGCTGACATTGAACACTTAATTTCTAGACAAAAAAGATCAGGAACAGGAATATAGCTACTGTAAATTAGAAAGAAGATTTTTTAAATTTTTTTTACTCCAGTCATTGATTTGTTTTTAATATCATCATATCATATCAAATCATGAATATCACGACTCCTTATTATGGAAGAGGAAATTTGAGTTCTGACTTAAAAGAAAATTTGACTCCTGACTTTAATCTCAGAACTCAAATATTTTTTTTCACATGTGGCTACAAATTATCCAGATATTTCACTTATTTATCACTGTCGATGTTCTACTTTGAGCATTTTTTATTGAGCAGTCAGATGTGTTATATCTGTTATATGTTTGCACTGTTTACTGTAGTTACTATCAATTGTATATATATAATACATTTTTAATTCTATTCTTAAGTTTAGGCGGGATAAATAAAGTATTTATCTATTAACATTGTCGACACATATAATTCCCACCCCCATTTCTGGGACTATAGAAGAAGGAGATGGCATATTTTATTGAATTGACTCTTCCTAAGTCCCGCCCCTTTTTGCTTTGTGCTCCAGTAACAGTTGAGCAATCCTTGGTCAGAGCACTGACTGTAAGCTAAGCCCCGCCCCCCTCAGTTACTGTTGCCCCTTTCAGTACTTTGAAATGATGGGTTCTTGGTTTCAGAGACAGACAAAAGAAAGATTCTCATTTCCTGCAGATGACAAATTAGCCTGATTGCTAATTATTATTATTCAAAGTCAAACTTTTCTGCTGTGATTCAAACTAAAGAAAATAAACTATACGTGTAACTGCAACCTAACTTAACTCTAATGATTGATTGTGTTTGTTCTTTCCTCTGATCAATGATACAGTGTCTGAAGATGGTGAAACTGAAGACAGGGTCTCTCTGGTTCCTCGCTGCCTTCCTCTTCCTGTCCACTGTTCCCACAGTGGCTGAGGTGCTACATGCATTTTCTTTGTGTGAAGGGTTTCTCCTTCAGGGAAATCCGCCACAGATCCCAGGCATCGTGAACGGCAGGAACATCCAGAACCAGAACCGATACAAACCCATTTGCCAGACTTACAATAATGTGAGAAGGTATCTGACGCTCTACGACACCAGGAACAGGATTCCAGTGTTTTCTGCTTACGTGTACAGAGGGGATGGAGGAGGGGCAAGACCTCAAGGGGAACTCTGGAAGATCGAACCACAGGTGTGTTTTTCTTTCTCTGATTCATAAAAGACTGAATTAATAAACATACAGTGATATTATATTTTGTGTGCCACTCGTGCATCCACATCCATAGAAATACTACGACTATTAACTACTAATAACAATAATTGTAATCTACCACTATAAGGAATAACAATCATACAACTACTTTCACTGCACTTTCATGTAGAGGACACTGGTCTACTGACAGTTTGTTCAACCCTGGTTGGACCCTCTAATATTAAAACAGCTGTCAGAGGTTAGTTTATGGTTTTCTCTTTAAGCAGAGACTCCAGGCTGCAGCGTCACACTGGTGATATTCTGTTTTTGTTATTGTCAGATCCATTAAAAAGCCAACAGCAACAATACTTTCTGACTTCTCCACTCTGTCTGCAGCAGTAGCAAAGATCTGCTCACAGATAAG